GAATCTGCATCTACTTCAAAACTTGAAGCTAGTAAAGTGAGTGTTAAGATACCGCCATTTTGGGTAGAGAAACCTGAAATGTGGTTTTTCACCGTAGAGGCACAGTTTAAAATCAGTGGAATTAGTGCCGAAAACACATGGTCAACAAACTCTTTAGTCAATGTTACAGTTACATATGAAAATTTAAAAACAATAACACAGCAAAACAAAAATGTTCTGAAAATTCACACACTTAATTTTAAAAAATTAAATGCACATTATTACAGTTATTAGCAATGACAAATAATTATTACACTTTTCTTTCATAATTTAAATTGATTTTTTTTACCAATGTCTGAGCTATCACCAGGCCACTGAAATGCAAAGTGTTCTAACAGTACTATCTTGTCTAGTTTATTTTTTTATTATTTTGTTTTTTATTTATTACGTGCTCCGCCCTTAGACACTACACAGAAAGGGAGGTATGCCCCGTGGAGGTCTTTTTAAGGGAAACTGGCTCGTATCCACGTTACACATGGGGAGAACCACGAAAACGCCCATGCAGCCAGCTCGTTCGCCGGGATTCGAACCCCGGACCGTTTAATAGGGTTTGCACTTAAGTTTCCAGGTCAATAGCAACCCTACAGTTTCATTGTGTTATATAAAAGACATCCCAGATCCACCTTCCTTATTTTGGATGAATGAACGTCCAGCAGAAACAGAAAGAAACAGTAGAAAAAGTACCCTACTGAAACAGGTTAGTGCAGCCTGTTAAGCAAAATCGCATAATAAACAGGAATAATATTCTATAAGACATAAGTGCATGTCGAAAACGGTAGAACTGTTATAAATGTTTCAATATATTGCTAAAAAACACACGTAAAAGTTAGCTACAACAATCAAGAAGGAAGAATAGAAACCAGATAAATTACACAATTCTTCTCAAAGAAAAAAGAAAAAAAACTGAGAACGTTCCTAACTATTAGTATAACAAAGGCGTAAAAGAAAGCTACTTATAATTAACTAGCCGCTACACGGCCAGCCCTCGTCTGGCTTTTAAATGCAACGGAAAAATGCCTAAAAAGAACAACAAACATTAAATTTAAACACAGAATTTTACTCTGCAAAACAACTTTCTAAAAAAAAATTCAATAAAAATATAGTATACAAAAAAACTGCAGTGAAATAAGCAATATCCCTTAATACAAATATTAATTATACTAATAAATAAATTAACCAACTTCCCGTTGCCTTCTCTCGACAAACGACCAGTATCCAAAAGAAGCACTAAATTTAAAAAATGCACAGAATTATCGTCCTCATTTTTCCAGTGGTGATATCAGCAACAGTGCCCTTGTGCCATTGTTGCTGATATCATGAGAGAGAATTATCGATTTGATGCAATTTCATCAAAAATATAAAATTAAAAAATCTCATTGGAATTTTGAAAAAAGCGCTTCGAGCTGCAGTGGCTCTTGTCTAGATGCATCTATGTACCAATTTCGTGGTCCTGGGTCTATTAGCTTACGCGCAACACGAACGAAAGACACATACACACACACAAACACCCAGACAGACTCTTCCTTTTATGTATATAGATGAGAAAATTATATGCAAGCAGTAAAATCTGAATAAATTTGCTATTCTAGAAAGGCCGCTGTGGTAGTTTTACAAATAACATATTTTAGAGAAGTTCAACATTGATATATCCAGAAGTATTAGAGCCTATGATATGCAATAGCGATCCCAAAAACCATTCCGGTATTCAAACATTCCATACCCAAAATAAAGTGCATGATACATATAATCGAGACGGCATTTAATTGAAACTCAGAAAACTCACATTTGCAATACACTCCTCCAAAAGCATCAAGGTCATAAAAAAGATGGCTCGATCTGGAGTTTTCCGTCTATACGCATATAAAATAAAATGACTAATTTTGGATTCAGTTTTCACGCTTGATCAAGAGAGCGACAAGAAACCGTAGTTCTTTGTCTCTCTGACGCATCGATTTGATGTTACTGCTGTTAAAAACGACTGGGAACATCTGAGGTGAGGCAGATTTTTGTTTATTATTAATAATTTATTTCTTCGAAAGATTATGCGTGAAATTCGTTTCCCTTTAATTGATTAATGGTGTAACAAACTGATGTGGACCTTTGTCTCACCGCGTACGGATTTGGCGATATTCCTCTTAAAATTGTGGTACAAAGAATTACTCAATTCGAAAACCGACAGTTTCTTGCGCCCCCCCCCCAAATGGTATGATATACAACAAAACCAGTCGATGTGACAACCATGAAATGCATATAAAATATGCAAGGAGCATAAACGGTTAAATTAATATATATTTTTTAAATTTAAAAATATAATTATTTCACGTATTTTCGCGCAATGTGCTGCTGAAGATTTTATATTTATAAATTATATTAAAATTATTTAATATTATTTCAAATGTTTTATATTTTTTTTTTTTGGTATATTTTTTCAGGTATATTTTTTCTGGTTTTGGTATATTTTTTCAGGTTTTTATCATTTTTAGGTTTCAGTTTCACATTTATTTAATTCTTATTTTGCAGATTTATAGTATATTTTAAAATTTATTGGAATCGAATTTCATTTCTTTTGGGTCTTTGTGTAAAATTGGTTCTAATTTTTTTACTTTTTGTCAAAAAATATTTTGAACCGTAAAAATTCTAAAAAGTAAAATTTAAAGTACTGAAAAGGTAGCTATTTGTCAGCAACGAGCTTTAAATAACCTACCACTTCCGATTGATCTTTTGCAAACAAAACCTAATTTATTGTCCTAATAAATAGAAAGGTCTGGACTACAAAATTTTCGGTTATTTTTTAACAGGTGTAATTAATTGGACATGAGTAAAACTGGTTTAATTTATATCATCATAATCAATTGTTTGCCCTTTTATTAATGTTTTTATTAAAATTTGTATTTTATTGAACTACTGAATAACATAGAATTTATTTGGTTTTGAATTAAAGAAATTAAGTATTTATAAAAAATTTAAAATACATTGAAACGAATATTATTATTTAATTTTTTTCCATGTCACTTCTATAAATTTTTTAAGCTATTATAGAAATCATTCTTCTGCGGCTTGATATAAATAAACATAATGTTTAAATATAACAAAAATATCCTTAATAAACCCTGATTATAGTGATTTTAAATTCTTCCAGGAAAATTCGTTAAGAGTTTAAAATAAAATATCCATTCTGGTTTATCAAATAAAGTCAAAATTTAATATTATATTAATTATAACTGTATATGCATATACGTATTTAAGAATTAAATACGAAATTCCAGAAGGTTAGGATTTTATCATAATATATTTTTTCATGAAAAAATATATTATGACAGCACCAAGTAAAATATCGCATCCGGTTTATTAGTTTTAGCCAAAAACTAATAAATTGTTCCCATTGATATAAAAGTCTTAAATACTAAAATTGAAAAGTTTGGGATTATATTTTAATCTAGTTTTTCATTGAAAACTGTTAAGGGTTTCAAGTAAAAACTTGAAACTTTCACTGTCCATTAAAACTTTCTGCTGTCCATTAAAAACTTTCTTGTTTTTAAGTAAAGCGTACCACTTCAGGATGTCCAGTTTTTCTCCAAATCTAATCAATTCTTTATATAAAAGTATAAAAGGCTTAAACAAGAATAAAAATGTTTGGAAACGTAATATAAAATTTATTGTGGATGAATAAATCCTCACACACATATACACACAGATAGCCTAATGCCGTTGTGGCGACTTTAATTCCTGCCTATTCGAATTCTTGGAACGAAAACATTACCTCCTTTGTCTTTATATACGAGTATATATGGGCTGGCGGAAGGTAAAAAGAGATAGCCTGTCTGATTTAAGTCTTAATCGTGAAACACCCGCAATGACTAGAAATTCACCAGAATAATAAAAATTAAAAAAAAAAATCTTAGTTATATATAAATGAACATTTCTTTGTTTAGCTATTTATAAACAGTACATCTCAGTTCAATATGCATTGCAATAACTATGTAGCAGTACTCAAAACCCAGGCGGAACATGAATAAGCTAACTGAAATACACATATAAAGAAATTACATAAAAAACTTCTAAAAAATTTTGAATGTGACATTTTGATACAAACTCTTGTACAATTTACGTTGTCACATCAATTAAAAGAAAGAGGAGATTGGGACAAAACCTTTATATTTGTGAAAGAATTGAATAGGAAATTATGAGTTATATTTTAACCCCAGTCAAAAAAAAAGTTAAACTATGGAATTTTGCCTATCGTAATTACCTATCGTATAATTTATATGCATATTTTGCAAGCATGAAGTAAAGGTTTCAAAATACTCATTTTTATTTTAAACCGGAAGAGAACTTAAGCACTAATTTTTCTAAACTTAAAAATTATGAATTCTTTTAAAAGAAACATGATTTATATGTTATTTCATTATGTTGCATGTGTTGATTAGTAAATAATCATTCTTATTAGTCTTGTAGCTGACATATTCAAAAGCAAAAAGTATCAATTACAGAAAATACGATTTGTATTAATCGATCAAAATAAACTATTTTAAAGAAAACAGTTACCTACCTGGTCGCAATGTATCATATAAAGCAGTTACAAAAAGAGTAATCACTTAGAAGGGATTCAGTTTCTTTACAATTTAAAATACAGTTGCACAGGTGTTATTAAGAATATAATCATTTCTTTTATGGATTATTACAGCAGGAATAAATTTGAAAGTTAATAGGAGAGAACTTTAACCCATTTCACAATATTCGTTTATGTGCCTCATACTTTTATCGTTATTATTATTATCAGCAAAAAATGCTCACGAAGTCGATGCTGATAATTATACACAGAAAGAGCAGAAAGTAATATTAAAGTAAACTAAAATTATCCTTCTAATGCAAAGAAACAATGTAGTAGAAAATGCCAGACTATTAGAAAATTCTGCAATGGCTTTTACGAATAAAATACCACAATGCATGTTTGACTTAACTGTTTCCTTGTGTCCTTCCAAAGTAGCAATTCTGAGTGCCGTCTTCCCATCATGTGCCCTGCAATCCACCATTGAAGGCGTGTGTTCAAGTAACTTTTCAACGAGATTAGTATGCCCTTCTTGTGCGGCTAGGATGAGCGGTATCCTTCCGTCATTGTCCACTTCCGTTATTTTAGCTCCAGCTTCAAGTAACAGTTCACAAGCCTCGGTGTGTCCTTCAAATGCAGCATAATGAAGTGGAGTCCAACCACCATTGTCCCGATGCATCTCATCCAGGCCACGATCCAGGAGTTGACGGACAGTATCCGGATCTCCTTGAGCAGCTGCGATGGACAGTACTGTACGCCCTTCTGCATCTATAGTATCAACAGCAGCTCCCCAGAACAGCAAAAGGCGGATGACTGAGGGATGCCCCATTGATGCAGCAGCTACAAGTGGTGTTCGTCCATTGTTGTCGGTGTGATCCACATCAGCTTCGTTTTCTAGGAGTAATTCGCATACCTGCAGAGAGATGCACATTTATAATGTCCGAAGAGCCATAGTAAAATAGAAATATTTGTAACCAGGCGCATTAAATGATTTCATTTAAATACAGACCACCTATTTAATAACAATTTTGCACATAAATAAAAGCCTATCAATCACTTAAAGTTCACACAGTATCTACAGCATATTACATGGCAGAAGTGCCGAAAGCTTAAAAATTATTCAGGAAGCATACTGTGCCCTTAATGTATTACGTAAAAAAGGTCAACCTGTTTTCGGGGAGAAAAACTGTACGGCTAATATAAACTTAAAATTTAGGATTTCTAAAAAACTATTGAGATCCCCTATAAAATAAAGATATAATTTAAAAAAGTATTTAGATATAATAACTAATAAAAGGGAATTAGATATAATAATTCGACGAAGATGGAAAATATATACTAACTTAGTCCCTTGTATTTTTTATTTCAGATTTGCATTTGCGGACAGCCTGCACGGAAATGTACGTATGTAGTTTTATATAAGAGTCAAATTAATTAGTTTATGCTACACGACAGATGATGACAAAATTATGTCCAGTATATTTATATACAATGTGTCGCAAATACAGTAAGTACGATAGGCGTCGTTTAATGGGATCACATTTCTCAATGACTATTCTGGTAATATTTATACCGACTGATAACATTAAGCGAAGAGAAATGGATCTTTGAAAATATCGATGGAATTTAACTAATTTAATATAACTATACTTTAAAACATATAAACGCTCACCTTCACAGCGCTTTAATTATAAAAAAGTCATTAGTTGATTGTCTGTGTATGTAAATGTTAAGCAAAAGTTAATTTATGAAAACTGTTCATTTTCATAAAGTCTCTGGAAATTATTTAATCGATACTGTCTCCTTTATCTTAATATTCATAGGGCAACCCCCACCTCATAATTTGCCGGAAATTCATTGAATTTATCACCATCATCTTCTTCAGAAAGTTTAGCACGTTATGCTTTTGGATTTGTTTCAGAAAGGAACTAGCAAGCAACTATCTTCTTCTGACACTAATACAGCAATTTGATTTTTTCATCAGTATCCATTCCAGAATTGAATTCCTCATAATTCATAGTAGTTTCAGAATTTATTTTTAATTCTTAAACTTCCTCTCTTTCATAAATTATTAAAAACTGGAAAACATTATTTCTGTTCCATATGAAAAAAAAGCATACAACCATCAAGCAGAATAGCATGTTCAGCACCAAGGCAGGATCCTAAAGGTTAGGAAGGCCAACAGTTTTTCCTTAAATTAATAGGGTCGGCCACCAGTGAGCCTTTTCGAAAAAAAACTATGAACAGAAAAAAAATAATCGTAAAAAAAAATCACAGAAAATATTTTTTGTACATTTCAAAGCAAGGAAACATGACTTCCTGGCAGACCTTATGATTTTTTTTCAAATCTTGGGAAAATGACTAAGAATTTTTGCTGTTTTTGTTTCAATAACAAATGCACTATATGGGGAAAAAACACGTTATTAGCATCTACTAAAAACTGCGGTTAATTTGCCCTCGATACAGGTTAGAATTTTGTGTTGCGAAGTCATTTTGCTTACCAAATTGTTCATTAACTATTAGGTTGTCCAGAAAATAATGCAGGTTTTTAGCCTATATCTTTAAAGTATTATAACTCGACTTAAAAACAGTTTTATTAATCATAATAACCAGCCAAATAAATGCATTTTTACCAACGAGATATAAGTTTATTTATGCCGGTAGAATAAAATTCTGGATATCTGGACGCGATAAAGCTGTCAAAGGCGTTTTTGACCTCGTTTTGGTTTCTGAACCATTTCTTGTGCAGAATGTTATTCAGATGTTTGAAAAAGTGGTAATCGGTCGGCGAGAGGTCAGGCGAATCGGGGGAAAGAGGGAGAGCCTCGTATGCCAATTCGTCCAAATTCTGTAGGGTCAGTTGCACGACGTGCGGATGAGCATCGTCATGGAGAAGAACTGGTCGATTCTGTTGACCATGCGAGCATGCGTTGCATTTTGGTTTTGTTGCGTTGTTGATTTGCTGACAGTACTTATCTGCTGTAATCGTTTCTCCCAGATTTAGGAAGCTTTAGTGGATGAGATCGGCCTCAGACCACCAAACAGTCACCGTGATTTTCTCTTGGTGCAAATTTGGCTTTGGAAAGTGTTTGTGGTTTCTGACCGCGGTCCAACCACTGAGCTGAGTGTCGCCATTTGTTGGAGAAAATCTATTTTTCATCGCACGTAACAATTCGATCAAGGAAAAGGTCGTTTTTGTTGCGGAGAAGAAAAGCAGACGACACTTCAAAACGGAGATTTTTTTTTTTTATTTTCGCTCAATTGAGGCACCCACTTATCGAGCTTCTTTTGACTTTCCTATATGATTCATGTGATCAGAAATCGTTGTTTTGCTTACGCCAAGCTCTCGAACAGTTATGTACGGGTTTGTTTCAACTAAAGTCTTCAAATCATCGCCACAACAGCGAAGAGCGTCCACGATGCTCTGATCTTCCGGTCAATTTCTCCACGACGAAACTTTTGGATCACGTTGAAATGTAGATTCATTAACACTTTCTCACCCATACTTCGTGACAGTTCGAACTGTTGACTGCGCTGTGGCTAGTTCCGATGAAATATATTTTTCTTGATTATTTTGAATTTTGCTATTTCAGAAATTTATACATTTGTATAGTGATAGTTTTCAATTTAGTTTAGACCTAATAGGTATTCTCCACCATCTAGCATGCACGTGGCTAGTGGTCAGCACACTCGGCGGGTATTCGAGAGGTCCGTGGTTCGAGTCCCGGCGAGGGCACTGCTCATTTTTCATCTCCCCTGCTTTAAAAAAATACCTAATAGCTCTACAGCCTTGATGATAATTTCTGCAGGTTTTTATTTATTTATTTATTTATGTAAATTTTGTAATATAAGAGCGCGAAAACATGTCAGGAAAAGGAGTGACTTTAATGAGACTTTTAAATTAGATTAAGTTTATAAAGGAAATTGGATTACTTTAAAGCGGTTTAAAGTCTCAGTGGGTTCATTCGAACGAAACATGTTTATCGTCCCTCATTAATCAACTTGGTAACTTGGTATTAAGCTTCAAAACGAAACAATTTTCTCTTGAAAAGTTCTGTTTGAAGTATTAAACAAAGAAGATTAATTATGATAGTTAAAATTTTTGTTGTTTTCGATTTAATATGTAATAAGTTCACATTGTTTATAGTTTTTCCCTTTTAAATGTAAATTTTGTTTTCAATTTGGCATTTTCTTTTATTTGCGCTTTACTATTTTAACATGTTTCACAGTGATAATAGGTATGGCTTTCAAATATTTAATGCGGCATTTTCTTTTTCGTTTTTATTTCTAAGATATTCGCTTATTATATATATATAATATTGAAAATTGAATAGGGAGAGTTTACTTCACTATGTCCTTCAAAGGCTGCCACTAGTAAAGGCGTCATTCCATCTTTGTCCCTATGATCAACTTCTGTTCCCCTCTCTAACAGTAGACTGACCACCCTTGCATGGCCTTCAGAGGCTGGCACGCAGAGAGCGGCAACAGAAAGAGCAGTCCGTCCATCGCTATCTTCATGATTTATCTCAGCATCATGGTCAAGCAACTGCTGAACAATCTCCGTGTGACCCATGTAAGCTGCTGCGATGAGAGCTGTGCGTCCCTCGTTGTCCACTTTGTTGACGCATGCACCATGAGCTAATAAGCGGGACACAATTTCCTCATGCCCACCCCAAGCCGCGGCTCGAAGGGCAGTCCTGTGGTCAGCGTCAGCCAAGTCCACTTGAGCTCCATGTTCGAGCAAGACATTCACGACCTAAGACAGAGAAAATATCACTTAAAATATCATGTATTGCAACTCGACACGAAACGCTAAATCTAAGAAATTATCCAATACTTAATTATTATAATGAAACGTAGTGGTGTAAATAAACCTTTTACGAGTATAGAAGTGCAAAATAGAGGCCAAATAGGTAGTAGTAAAAAATAAATGAAAATACGACTTAGTACATAAAACTAAAACAATAATTCGCTATGTAACAACAGGAATTACTAGTCATTTAAAAAAAATCGAGGCGATATAGAAGACAAATAAATATTGTCAAGGAGATCCGAAGACTAGGCATTGTATACAACTGCTCAATAAATAAAGAGGCGAAATAGATGGCTGTAAATAATAAATGAAAATACTACAGATTAAATACAACAAAACAATAATCCACAGTGTAATAACAGTAATTATAATCCATTTAAAAAAACGAGGAGATACAAAATTAAATATTGTCAAGGAGTCCGAAGGCTAGACATTAACTAAAACCTTCCAATAAAGAGCAGTGAGGAATGTTTAGACTTGTTAGATTATTTTGTTAGTTGTTAGAAAGGCAAGTTCCAAAATGTCTGGGATTCTGTTCACTCAGTTTTAAATATTGTGAATTTTCTATCATTATTCGTCAATTATAAAACAAGGTTTGAAATACCTAACTTCACAATTATTCCTGAATCGTATATTTCCTCTTATATGCTATTTATTCCAAAATATCTGCATTAAATTTATAAGGTATTTCTTCTGCCTTCTGAGTATGCCTTCATCGTGTGGTGGTCAGCACGCTCGCCACGTATTCGAGAGGCGTGTAGTTCGAATTCTGGCGAAGGCGTTGCTCATATTTTTTACATATTCTGCTTCGAAATAACTTAATATCTCTACAAATTTCCAGCGAACGTATATATATTAGACTATAATCTTAAAGAGACAGTGAAATACTTTGAAATTTACTACTTCGGCAAAAATATTAACTAGAAAGTGTAACAGAGCTAAAATTTATAAAGAAAATGGCACAATCGATATGTCAGTATTATCTTTGCAACGGGATCTAACATTTAATATAAAATAATATATTCAAAATTAACTAAATAATTTTATGCCCATTTGATTGATTAATTAATTATGGCAAAGCACTCGAGCAATAAGAAAGGACACTTCCTTGGAAAACTTTTGTAACAGCTTAGCCCTTTCACACTAAGTAGTAGTTATTCAAGAAACATCAAAATTTGGGTCTAGGTCATAATCCCGACAGCCGAAATCCCGACAAGCCAGAATCCCGACTGTCCAAAACCCCGACAGGGCCGAAATCCCGACAACCCAAAGTCCCGACACGATCAAATCCCGACAGTCAAAATTCCGAAAGCCAATCCCGAGTGCCCAGACCCACGGGTCAAAATCCTGACTGTCCAAAATCCCGACAAGTTAATATCTAAATACAACACTCAATTTAGCTTAATAAAATACATTTTTAACTAATATTATTACTAATTAAATTTAAACAAAATCATAAAAAATTCATTACTTAAAATTTTTAACAAATTGAAATGCGTTAAAATTGAAAGAAGATTATAAAATTCTTTTTATTAAGAAAGAAAAATCCTTACCTGCAAAAGATATATTTACAGTGACACTGTGAGCGAAGCACGAAGATATTCCATCACAGGTCGATTATCACGATCCGCAACAGTCATAATTCTCCTTTCCTGTCATCATCTACCTTCCTACGTTTTGGTTGTGTTCTCCGCGAGAATGCATTCAACTTGGTATTCCACATGCTCCTGTTCTTTTTGAAATCCTTCTATGATGTTATAAACCACATGGCCCGTCCAATTAAGGTCTCCATCTTCTGTGCCAATCCTCGACAGCATTTTGAGTGCGCGGAGCATTATAGTGCCTTTTCTAGATCACTATGATTCAGATGGCCTCAGTTCAATTATTTTTTCAGCGAAATCAATTAAATCTTGGAATAATCTTTGTAATTTTCTTCAGATTTGCTATAGTTCAAACATATCTAGTTGCAGCTGTGGAAGTATGTTAAGGGGTCATTAGGCCTTATTGGGATTTCGCCCGTGTCGGTATTTTGACACTGTCGGGATATTGGACAATCGGGATTTCGACCCTGTCGGGATTTTGGCTTGTCGGGATTTCGACCCTGTCGGGATTTTGGCTTGTTTGGATTTCGACCCTGTCGGGATTTTGGCTTGTCGGGATTTTGGTTTGTCGGGATTTCGACCCTGTCGGGATTTTGGCTTGTCGGGACTTCGGCTGTCGGGATTATGTCCGGATATCCAAAAAATTAATTCTATTTGGTTTGAAACTTTACGTCTCTAATAAAACTTCTAACAGGTTGCCCGTTCAGAATAAGTTATAGCTGTTCAATAGCAACACCAAAAAATCAATTCCATTAAGATCGAAACATCAGACAAACATTATGACTCTAATATAAAATAGTTTCTGACCCAAGTGAACAAGATAGATGCTCCCAATAGTAAAGGTTTTCAAGCTATGGGTACTAACGAATATTTTTAGCAGCCGCTTAATATGGATTAATATCGTTAACCAGTCATTTTAGCAGCTTTGATGTCTCAAAACTGTCAAAGATGCATTCTTTTCTTAACTAGTTCTATATAGAGCCTCACAGTTAAAACTGAATATGATATCATTTCTTTCCATTTTAATTTTTCTTAAATATCCAATATGAAAGAAATTAAGCGCAGAAAAACAACGCTACTAGAAAACATTTAAGCGGATAGGGGGTGGTAGAAGTACCGGTAATTTGAATTTTTTCAAAATTCAATGTTCATAGTTTTGCATTAAAAGGAATTAAAAACTGTAGGTGAAATACAATAACACAACTACTGCAGAAAGAAATTCAGAAGAAACACTTCAAATTTTTATTGTTATTAAAAAATGTATTACACCACCAGAGCTACATGAAATATATCAAAATCGGGGATTAGCATTCCAAATAATAAGCCAATACTGAAATTATACTCTAAAATACCGTTTGGCAGTTTGTTTCAAAAAGCAAAATATTATTTGAGAAGATCGGCTGATTTCTAAGACAAAAACGCACAAAAAACAAACGAAAAAAGGAAAAAAACGCAGAGAAACTTCAGAAAAGAAATGGAGGCAGAATTTGAACCACTGTCAAAACAAATGAGAATTGCCAGACATTCTAAACAAAAAATATATGTTACAAAATACGCGCTACATACATGGACAAGACGCAACAGAAAAAGTTCAGCAGTTTAGAATTACAAAAGAAAAAATAATTTGGACATTATGAAAGATATACTTTATCGATTTCACATAGTTTTAAAAAAGCGACACAACATAGAATACAACTCAATGCTTAAAACACTCAAGAGTATCCTTGAAAATGCATGAGCTTCATTAAAAAAAAAAAAAAAAAAAAAAAAAAAAAACTATCCAACTTCCTTTAGACAGGATGCCTTAAGATAGTGTATATTGATACTTTGGCGGTCAACCACGTGCAAGGACAGAAAAAGAGATTTAATTTTATTTAATAGTATTAAACTTAATAAATGTAGACAACGAAGGTAATTTTAGGTCTCGACATCGTGCTACTTTTGTTTTACATACTGGCCCACTGCTGGCCACATGGCTTAAACAGCGTAACATCAGTAATTCGACCCGGGTTCAAAATCCCGGCAAATATTCTAATAGGATGTGTGTTATCATGGTCTTCCTCATTTGTAATTTGAATACCAGCCAGCCATTTTCGTTTACAGAGTCCTTCACGAAGACATACTTCTCCTCAGGCGGATGACAGTTGTGTGTTTTGCATTAATCAGTTACAACTAACTAATCATTTTTTCAAATTGAATTCAAAATTGTTATTAATTACTTAAAGAACTACTTACAAATATATCTTCTGAAATTCACACCAACCTATTTTAATAATTTCGAAAATTTTGCAGCTAAATTTGTGTAAATGTTTTCAAGTCTATTTCGCATCACTGTGCATGCAGGCATAATTCTTATACATTTTCAATTTTTAAATTTACGTTATTGTTCTAATCAACTATTTAATTAAATTTACATAAGCATTTATAGCTTATGCATAGCTGAAAATATTGGCTATTTGATTTAAAAAAGGAAAAGCACGCGAGGAGCACCTGCCATAGTAAATGTGTCTTCGTGATGGGAGTTTTAATGGAAGCTGGCTCAAATCACGTAACACACAGAAAGACTACAAAAACCTTAGCTACTAGTGTTCAATGTCTTAAGCAAATCGGTCTCTATCGGGTTTGTATAACAGAAGATATCGTATCTCAGAATTTGAATTTTGAGATAAATTTGGCAATATTAGAAAAATATCACTAGGATGATTTCTAGAAAACTTACAGTCATGGGCTCTAGAGTTACTGTAACCGATGATACAATAAACCCGTATAAATGCCGTCTTTTTAAAACAGAATTATATTCATGAGGTTTACCTCGCTAACGTATCAGTTTGCGATGACAATGGTGAACACTAACGCCATTGGACCTTAACTTGTTTGAAGTCTAACTTGTCAAAGTGCATTTTCGAGTACTTTTACCTTTTAAGATGTTTTATTTTACTGACTAAAGGGAATAATCTCAAATTCAAACTTTTTTCTCCATACTTTTCTGTTAATAATTAAACTGCAGACATGCAATCTGATGTATCGTAAGGCTTTTGTCATGCGGCCGTTTCCCACTGTAATGGATTACGTAATTCTTTGACACAGCTCAAATCCAAGTATATGTATGATCGTTTCACACAACAACCATAATATCAAGATCAGAGAAACAGATGCTGCGTCCAGGATTAAACTTGATAGCTAAGTATAAAAAATCCACTGTTGGATATCCAAAATACACCACTATGAAACGGAGCATCCAATAGCTTGAAATCTGCATCTTGCGTAGACCTCCATAGGACCTGCAACTAAGTAATACTGCAGCACATATGCAAAACAGTGCGCCAGTAGTACTAACTAAAA